TTGTTTATATTTGTAACTTGATGTTTTATTATATTAATATATTTGAAATTATCTTAATTTATAGTATAATTTTTTTTTCATGTTTGTGAGAATTATTATATATGCCAGGTTATTACCAACATTACAGCGTAATAAAAACTCCTAACCACAGTTATTTTATCATGCAATTATATTCATAAATACCAAACACTTTTCTCTCACAATCAGTAGTGCGAAATTGATTTTCAACGCAAATGAATAGTCAATATTTACAGATACGAAGAAGATTTTTATAACGTAAATAATAACCATCTTTTAGTCGAGTAATCCAGCAACTTTCTTCTTGTACGCAAATTATCTTTTTTACGAAATGAATAAAGATAAGGAAGCAAGATTTCTTTGCTTAATTAAAGGGTGGAGATTGTGTTCGGCACAAGAAGGAAGTAATCCACCGCGATTTTTATTTTAATTCATATCAGCGACGATATCATATCATTCGCATAAAAATGATTTTCGTATAAGACAAAAAAAGGTTTAAACGAGCTGGCATGCGTGTTATCGATACTTATGCTCACCGGATCAATCGCGGTTGATCGACTTTCAAGAGATTTCGTGCATACGATACTGGTCCGACCAGATCGTAAGAAGGCTGAATGAAGAGAACTGCAAAGAAAGAGGACCACGTAGAGGGCAGAAAAACATTCGAGATCGAGTCAGAACTCTTTTATAATATACGGACCGAACAATATCCATTCACCGTGCAGAACACACTGTGCCAAATAGCTGCGTAATAAAACTGGAATAAAACGATCAGCTGATCGTTTTATTCCAGTTTTATTTATCCATGATCTAAAGCCTATCACTTTACGTAATGTATGCTGAGATTTATTTTACATAATCAGATTAAAATCAAACAGGCAGTAAATATATCTGTATTCTTTTCAGGGCACAGATAAAATCTTTAATCATAAATTGCTCTACTTTCACATATATCATAAAATTAAGCAATGAAATAATTTAGTCATTATAAATTATTCTAATTAATGTTTTTTAAGAATAATGATCCGTTTGTCATCTCTCTCAAGAATTTCACTTTCAGAATTTTTCGACACTTTAAATACGAGTGACGTATTTAAAGAAATCTGTGTTTTTATTAATTTATTCAATACATTAAATATACTCTTACAGAAATGTGTCAGAGGATATCGATCAATTTAAATTCCGCATAAACCTCGGGTCACCTTAAATAGGTTACCACGTGATGATCAATACGCCAACATGCATGTATATTACAATCGAGTAAATCGTTTATCTTTTGCGGACCGACCGGTAACGAGACTATATAACTGGCATCGACCTCGTGGTTATCGGACCGGATCTCACGACGACAGCCCTATGTAAAATAATGGCGTGAAAAATAATTTCGATGACGGATAAACATGCAAGCTAGGTTTTCCGCGAACGTTATTGCGTTACATTTATACATCAAAAATATTTTTTTTTTAATACTAAACGTAAACATTTTTTAATCACAGATGATAAATTCTCGCAACATTTCTCGCATTAATTATTTTCTTTGGAAAAAATTGAAAATTTTTTGGCTTACATTACGTTCACGTTTATATATCATGGTTATATAAAACTTTGTAAATCGAATCTTCTAATAAAACTAATATAAGACTTTTTACTAATTCCTAGGGAATTGATATTTTTCTCACAAACAAGTTTCAACAAATTACAATGTTCAAACATTAATATTAGACATTCACTTATGACCTCATTTTTATAGAATCTTAATCAAAGTTGAATAATTGAACATTTTCATATTAAATGTAAGAACTAAAAGTAAAAAACTTATTTTTCCTTCTTTCTTTTAAGAAACAATTTCAAATTCCTTTTCAAACAGAATCCGTCACTAAAACGAAATCTAAGATACTCTCTCTGGGAAGTTGAAATTTGAATAAAAGAAAAATCCTAAAATAAATCGCAATCTAAAGCATTTCTAAATAAACACACTATTCAATAAATCAAAAATCTAAATTTCGCTCATTTCCTTTTCCTGCTCAATCTCTATAGTAGTCCGTTCAGTAGTGAAAGGTCCGATCGATTATTGGCAATCATAGATCGCGCGAAGTTCATGGATAGCATAAAAAGAAAAAAATCGGAATCCGTACTATGATTAGACTTTAACGAGTGGCAGAGAGAAATCAGGAAAAGAGATATCAAGGAAGGTGCTTGATGAATAGCTTCGATTGAACCTTATAAGAAGCGGTTAATCTCAGAAGGAAGAACGGATCCTACGGGCTTTGCAAGATTTATCGTTTCATCTCGAGAGCACCACGAATCCCACTCGTCTTTATCTATTTTCCCTTGGTAACCTCATACTTTTCTTCCAACGATGAAAGAAAGAAGTGCGAGAAGCAGCTTTTCCAATTCGTATCTTGTCTAACTTTCTATCGTGGAATATGCAAATTCCGATAAGTGTAAAAAAACAATCGTTTAAAAATTAATTCGAAAAGATAAGAGAGATATATTATTTTAAATTTCTCAATGAACAAATTAAAATTATTAATTTTTAAAGCGGATATATTGAAATATTTTTTCCGAAGCATAAATCGACTCCTCTCCTGTCCTCTCGATCATGAACGACGTCACTGGCAACAGATCTCCTTTTTCATTTCTTGTCTTGGCAGAAGAAAAAGGATTAATGGCCTCATAGCATGACACCGCGTCGTGATAAGATCGCGGGCTTCCTTTAACTGTCGGCTGCCAAGCGTCGGCGATCATATCGGCGACATCCGAATCGCATCGTGTATCTCCTAAAGCAGCACGTGAGACGGGCTTTTATCGATTCGTGATTGTGCACAGGCGAGTTCCTTCACTTGCTATGCCTTGAAAAGACGCTCTCTACTTTGCTCTCTCTTACAAACATATTCATCTTTCATGTGAGTGATTTAAAATTCATAATATAGCCTCAAGACAGAATATTATTCGCAGTAATTCATAATTCAACAATTTATATAAAAAGGATATATTATTTTATGACAGTTTTTAGATATACAATTACAATTCTAAGTAATTTCCAACAAAAAATTACAGAATTTGAATTTTTTGAGGAATATTTAAGAAAAGACCGCTATATAATTAAAAAACAATATTATATAACTCAAAAAAAATATATATATAATAAAAAATACAATGAATAACAAGAATGAAATATAAAAAATAATAAAAACTACAACAAAAAATATAATAAAATTAAAATAATACTTAAAATATTATTAATTCAATGCATTTCTATTATTTATATTATATTTTTAAGCTGTAATGGCATTTCTGCATTAAGCAGATATGCAACAAACTCGACGTTTGCGATATCTTTTACCGTTTATAAGCTGACGATAGAAAAATACTAAGAAAAATGTCTCACGTACAATATGCCAAATCTCCAAGAGCAATTTCGCGGATATACGCACATCGAAGCGAGTAAAAAGTGTCGTAGATTGAATATCCGAGAAGA